CCCGCCACAACGCCCAGCCATTTTTTTTTGGCTGTAGTCGTCATTGTTGCTTGGTGGGCCCGGGCTAGATTCAAACCCACCACCTTAGGTGTATGTGGCTAGCGCCTTAGCCACTTGAGCCACAGGCGCTGAGCCGAATATTCACATTGTTGTTTAAACCAACAGCTTAGCATTTCACCTTGCAAAACTGAAACTATTTACATTAAACAACTATTTCCCATTCTCTACATTTCTTCCTTCCCTCTGACAACTGCCACTCTGTTTTGTTTCTATTCTTTGACTGAATAGGTGGAATTACATAGTATTTGTGTTTTTGTGACTGGCTAATTTGACTTAGCATAACGTCCTCAAGGTTCATCCATGCTAAATATGTGCTAGAATTTACTTCCTTTCTAAGGCTGAATAATATTTTATTGAATATATCACATTTTGTTTATCCATTTACTCACCAATGTACACTTGAGTTACTTTTTACCTACTGGCTATTGTGAACGATGCTGCTAGAAACTGGGTGCAAATATTTCCTTAAGCTTTCCTTTAGTGATATATCCAGAAGTGGAACTGCTGGATCCTATAGGAATTTTATTTGTAATTTTTGGATGAACCACCATACTGTTTTCCATAATGGCTGTACATGCTTACCAACAGTATACAAAGGTTCGAATCTCTCCATATCTTTGTCAACACATGTTAATTTCAATTTAAAAAAAAATAGGAACCATCCTATCAAGTATGGTATCTCATTGTGTTTCTTTTCTTTTTTTTTGAGGCAGTATCTCACTTTGTCAGCGTTGGTAGAATGTCATGATGTCACAGCTCATAGCAACCTCAAATTCTTGGGCTCCAGCAATCCTCCTGTCTCAAGCCTCCCGACTAGCTAGGACTACAGGCGCCCACCACAACACCTGGCTATTTTTAGAGACAGGGTTTCCCTTTTATTCAAGCAATCTACCCACCCAGGCTTCCCAGATTAGCTAGGATTACAGGCATGAACACCACATGCACCCTTCATTGTGGTTTTGATTTGCATTTTCCTAATTATTTGTGATGCTTGTTAGCCATTCATGTATCATCTTTAGAGAAAGGTCTATTCAAGTCCTTTGCCAACTTTTAATTTAGATCACTATTTTTGTTGTGGCTTCATAGAAGTTCTTTGTATTCTAGTTATTAATCTTTATCTGATATATGATTAGTTTGAGTATTTTCTATCACTTTGCAAGCTACCTTGTCATTCGTCTTTTGCTGTGCAGCAGTTTTTCAGGTTTATGTATCAGAAGTTGTCTATTTTTGCTTCTGTTGCTTATACTTTTTATATCATACCCAAGAAAACATTTCCAAATCCAGTGTTATGAAGCTTTCCCCAAATACTCTTCTAAAAGTTTATGGTTTTAGGTCTTACACTTGGGTATTTGATCCATTCTGAATTAATTTTTGTATAGTAAAAGGTAATGGTGTAAAGGGTCCAACTTAATTATTCTGCATATGGATATCCAGTTTTCCCAGCACCATGTCAAAAAGACTATTCTCTCCCCTTTTAATGATCTTCAAATTCTTGCTGAAAATGACCATCTTTGTGAGGTTTTATTTTTTTTTTTAATTAAATCATAACTGTACATTAATACTATCATGGGGTACAGTGTACTGTTTCTGTAAACAATTAGAGGTACTTTCGTCCAACTGGTTAACATGTCTTTTTCTTATTGTGTTAAGACATTTATATTCTACATTTAGAATAGATTTAGAGAGATTCACATGTACCCTTATAGGATGAACCATAGGTGTGATCCCACCAATCACCCTCCCCCTGTGAGGTTTTATTTCTGAGCTCTCTATTCCACTGGCATCTATGTCTTTATACCATCATCACATTTCTTTTTATTGTATCTTTGTAGTACGTTTTGAAGTCAGGTTGTATATAATCTTCAGATTGTTCTTTTCATATTAAGACAGTTTTGGCTTTTTAGGGTTCCTCTAGATTCTATATTAATTTTTGAAAAAATGGGCCGGGCATAGTGATGCATGTCTGTACTTTGTGCTACTCAGGGAGCTAAAGCAACAGATAGCTTAAGCCCAGGAATTTGAGGTTGCAGTGAGTTAGGATGAACCCACTGTACTCTATTTGAGTGACAGAGCCAAGACTTTTTAAAACACACACATACAGGGCCAGGTATGGTGGCTCACTCCTATAATCCTAGCACTCTGGGAGGTCAAGACAGGTAGACTGCTTGAGTGCATAAGTTCAAGACTAGCCTGAGCCAGATGGATACCCTAAAAATAGCTCTAAAAATAGCTGGGCATTGTGGTAGGCACCTGCAGTCACAGCTACTCAGGAGACTGAAGTAAGAGAATCACTTGAGCCCAAGAGTCTGAGGTTGCTGTGAGCTATGATATCAAAAAACACAACTTGTCGTGACATTCCATTTATTTATCTGTGTCCTCTTTCTTTTGTTTCCCCAGTGTAAAAGAGAAATTTTATTTAAGAATAAAAAGAATGTTTAGAGCACTTCCAAAGAGAATTGGAAGGGGGTCATCCCTTTCATGATGGAGACAAGGTGAGAGACTGCTTTAATTGCTTTCAGCAATATTTTGTAGTTTACAATATACAAGTCATTCACATCCTTGGTTAAGTTTATTCCTATGTATTTTATTCTTTCTGATATTATAAATAGGAATTCTCTTAATTTTCTTTTCAGATTATTCGTTATGAGTGTACAGAAACACAACAGATTTTTACATGTTAATTTTGTATCCTGTAATTGCAGAATTTCATCACAAGTATTAACAAGTTCTTTGTAGAATCTTTAAGGGTTTCTATACATAAGATCATGTCATCTAAGAATAGAGAAAATTTTACTACTTATCAAAATTGTATCCCTTTTATTTGTTTTTAATTGCTCTGAATGGGGTCTGCATAGGTATGTTTAAGAGAAGTGGTAAAACCAGACATCCTTGTGTTATCTTCTCATAGAGGAAAAGCTTTCAGTGTTTCAATGTTATGATGTTAACTACAGTGAGCTAGGATGAACCCACTGTACTCTTATGAGTTTTACACATAAGGCATTTATTATGCTCAGTTTCCTTCTACCCCCCTTTGTTGAATATGTTTATTGAAAAGGGGCACTGAATTATGTCAAATGCTTTTTCTCCATCAATCATGATTGATAATCATGTGGGATTTTTCCTTTATCTTGTTAAAGTGATGAACTATGAGAACTGATTTTCATATGTTGAAAAATCCTTGCATTATAGTATAAATCTCAGTTGGTCGTGGAAAGCAATCTTTTCAACATGCTATTGAATTCCACTTGTATTTTATCAATGATTTTCACAATAATATATTCCTTAAGTATAATGGTCTATAGTTTTCTTTCCTCATGATGTCTTTTACTGGATTATCAAGGGAATGCTGACCTCAAAAGAAGAGCTTTTTCCTTTCTCTGCAATTTGTTGGAAAAGTTGGAAGAAAACTGGTATTAATACTTCTTTAAATGTTTGGTAGAGCTAGGCGCTGTGGTTCATGCCTGTAATCCCAGCACTTGGGAAGCCAAAGCAGGCGGATTGCTTGAGCTCACAGGTTCAAGACCAGCCTGAGCCAAAGCAAGACCTCGGTCTCTAAAAATACCCGGGCATTGTGGCAGTCACCTGTAGTCCCAGCTACTTGGGAGGCTGAGGCAAAAGAATCACTTAAAACCCAAGAGTTGGGCTCCGTGCCTGTAGCTCAAGCAGCTAAGGTGCCAGCCACATACACCAGAGCTGACAGGCTTGAAACCAGCCTGGGCCTGCCAAACAATGACAACTACAACCAAAAAAACCCACAAATAACCGGGCGATGCAGCGGGCGTCTGTAGTCTTACCTACTTGGGAGGCTGAGTCAAGAGAATCGCTTAAGCCCAGGAGTTGGAGGTTGCTATAAACTGTCTGTCTACTCAGGGCAATAGCTTGAGGCTCTGTCTCAAAAAATAATGTAAAATAAAATAAAATAAATAAAACCCTAGAGTATGAGGTTGCTGTGAGCTGTGAAGCCACAGCACTCTACTAAGGGTGAAAAGGTGAGACTGTCTCAAAAAAAAAAAAAAAAAAGATAAATGTTTGGTAGAATTCACCAGTGAAGCTATCTGGTCCCAGGCTTTTCTTTGTTAAGATATTTTTCATTAGGCCAGGTGAGGTGGCTCATGCCTGTAATCCTAGCACTCTAGGAGGCCGATGCAGGTGGACTGCCTGAGCTCAGGAGTTCAAGATCAGCCTGAGCTAAAGTGAGACCCCGTCTCTAAAAAATAGCTGGGTGTTGCGGCAGACTGCTGTAATGCCAGCTATTTGGAAGCCTGAGGCAAGAGGACTGACTGAGGCATCTCCATGAAAAAAAAAAGGATGTTTCTGATTAATGAATTAATGTGCTTACTAATTATAGGTCAGGTCTGCTCAGATTTTCTACTTCTTTATGATTTAGGTTTGGTAGGTATAAAGATAAATGATTTTCACTATGGTCCTTTCACATGCCTGAAGAGATGATACAAACCAGAATCTCATGCTACAATAAAGAGAGAATTAAGTACGGCCACAGAAGAAAGAGTAGAAGCATTGGCAACGCTCAGTGAGTAGGGCGCCAGCCCCATATACCAAGAGTGGTGGCCAAACTGCAAGAAAAAACAGCCAGGCGTATGGCGGGCGCCTGAAGTCCCAGCTACTCAGGAGGCTGAGGCAAGAGAATTGCTTAAGCCCAAGAGCTGGAGGTTGCTGTGAGCTGTGATGCCACCGTACTCTACTGAGAGTGACAAAGTGAGACTCTTGTCTCAAAAAAAAAAAAAAGAAAAGAAAAAGAATTTTTGGAACTAGCAGGCAGATTAAATAATATTGGAGGAGAGGAGCAAGTTCAAAAGTCATAGTACAGCATTTCTTTTTATTTTTTGTAGAGACAGAGTCTCACTTTACTTCCCTCGGTAGAGTGCCATGGCAGTGTCACACAGCTCACAGCAACCTCCAACTCCTGGGCTTAGGCAATTCTCTTGCCTCAGCCTCCCAAGTAGCTGGGACTAAAGATGCCTACCACAACACCCAGCTATTTTTTTGTTGTGGTTTGGCCAGGGCTGGGTTTGAACCCACCACCCTTGGTATATGGGGGCGCCGCCCAGTACAGCACTTCTTTATGATATATACCTTTAAAAAGAAGTGAGAAATAATTATACTGTACATTAAGAAAAGCAAGGAGTAGAAGTATTTTCCATAAACATAAACGAAACCCAGAACTGTGATTTGGTTGATTATTTTATATACATAAATTCATACCTATTTAGCCCTTCACCTATAGGTGGTTTTTGGTTATCATCTAAGTAGACAATCACTTCTTTCCTTCGAATATGCACTATGTCATCCAAATTTAGATTTGTCAAATTCACATCTCCTTCAAAGTAGATTGAACCATAACCTGCAAATCAGAGCAGTTTAAAATTCATTATTTTACAACTACTATGATTAAACAATCAGAAGTACCAATAGCTTAAATTTTAATTATTATTTAAAATCATCCTGCAAATCTTAGAGCGAGTTATTTCCTCCGGAATATGGTAAATATGGGGGACATAGGAAGTGACATCAACTATATCATTATTTAACACCTGCATTTTTACACTTCTACAAGCCTGAAAATAGCTTTCTTAAATCAATTTCCAAGTATCTGTAATGCTGCTATAATTACAACCCTTAGTACTAGCCTCCCATGAATTAAAATGTCTGAGCCCTTTTCTAATACAATATGGCAAGATAGAGATTTGCTCCCCAAGAACATTAACTGTAACAATTTAATATGAAGTTGACTATATTACACATTTCTTGTCAACTATTCAATTTTCTCACTCAGTATTTCTTGGTATTTCCAGTATTTTCTTTGTTATGGGAAATTACAATGACTTACATATTATCAGTACAAACAGGCATACCTAAGCCCAAGAATGTTAAATGAATCTAGTCATTTTTCATTTTGTTACCTGCCAACTAAAGTATCCACTATTCAGGCCAAGATGGGCCCAAATGTAAGAAAAAAGGATTCAGCCAAAAGACCTTCCCTTAGTAACAAAAACAAGGTACATATCTCTAGTATATACATTTACTCCTAAAATCACACTCACCTTTGCGACCAATAGTGAAGTCAGAGACAATGCACTCTCCTTTTTCATTGGTAATTTTAGCAAGGTCATCCATAGATGGAATAGTGTAGTAACCAACCTTAGTGAGAACAATTCCTATGACCAAATTAAAAAAAAACACACTATCACACTTTTAATTTATAACTTTTTTCTTGGAGACAAGAGTCTCACTGGCCCAGATTAGAGTGCCACGGCCTCAGCCTATCTCATAGCAACCTCAAACCCCTGGATTCAAGCAATCTTCCAACCTAAGCCTCCTATGCAGCTGGGGCGACAGGTGCCCACCACAACACCTGGCTAATTTTTTCTATTTGGAGTAGAGACCAGGTCTCACTTCTGCTCAGTGTGGTCTCCAACTCCTGAGCTCAAGCAATCCTCCCTCCTTGGCCTCTCAGATTGCTAGGATTAAGGGCATAAAGCACCATACCCAGCTGCTCTTTTCCCTTCTTAAAAATTTTCTATAAAATGAACATTTTAAAAAATTACCTAATATAATCAGTAACTAAGTTATTATATAAAGAGAAAGTATATAGGAGTACATATTAAACTGGTTTTCTAACAAACACTATTCCCAGGAGAAACTATGTTTTTAAGATTTATAATCAAGAAAGTTGGAGGAACATACTTACAGCATATCAGATTCTGAAAACTTGGTAATATAACCAAGTCTATTAAACTTTGCCTAACTTACTTTTCCCAGAGTTAATTAATCACATAATACTTTTTTCCCCAGACAAATATGAGGTTTATTCACTGTGAACCAATAAGCAGAGTTTTGAAATAATTAATAACATACGTACACTAACAGGTATTATCTGAATTACTGAAGCCAAAATACACATAAAACACAGAGTACTCTTTTAAAAAGACACCCATTAAAATCCTTCACTATAAAAGGCATTCCATAAATACCATGGGAAAGACTTACTACACTTTTCCTTTTATTTTACACACATAGATACCAAAACCCAAGGTGCAAATAACTTGCCTTGTACCTTGCATTGCTATTTAGTAGTATAAGGTGGAGATAAAATCCAAACTCAATACTTTGACAGCTAACTCTTTTCAATAAACTTCTTTTATCTTTCAAACTTACACTCCCTAATAGAGCTCAAATAAAGAAAAATCTCCAAGACAAAGTCCTATATAAAAATGGAAACTTAAAGGCCTGCACTTGGGGTTACTAAGAAAAGCATCAAATAGGTAGATTTCAGGGATGTCTATGTGACATTTGATGGCCAAAGGAAGGTACTGAAGTGGAAGAGAGTCTCAGAATGCACCTAATCCAAAATTAAGGACCAAAAGTGGAAAACAAGACCAAAAAATTCAAAGAATGTAATGAGGGGCTCGGCGCCTGTGGCTCAAGCGGCTAAGGCGCCAGCCACATACACCTAAGGTGGCGGGTTCGAATCCCCAGCCCGGGCCCGCCAAACAACAATGACGGCTGCAACCAAAAAATGGCCAGGTGCTGTGACGGGCGCCTGTAGTCCCAGCTACTTGGGAGGCTGAGGCAGGAGGCTTGCTTGAGCCCAGGAGTTGGAGGTTGCTGTGAGCATGATGCCATGGCACTCTACCCAGAGGAACAGCTTGAGGTTCCGTCTCAAAAAAAAAAAAAAAGAATGTAATGAAATATATTGCTATACTTATTCTAGCTACTCCTTGTCTTGTTTGTAATTAGATTATGAGTTGATGGTCCGTAGCTCGGGGGTAGGGCGCTGGCCACACAGACCAAGGCTGGCAGGTTTAAACCCAGCCAGGGCCAGCTAAACAAGGACAACTGTAACAAAACAAAACAAGTACTTAACCCACACATCATATCAAACTCCACGCTCTAGCAATGGCCACTCATATTATTTGCTTCATCACTGGCAAGGTTTAAAAGAGAGTTGGAAACTGAGTGGCAGCAAATAAGGTCAGTGAGCAAACTACAAACAATATAAAAGTTACTAATTCAAAAAAATTAGTAGTACCATGATGAATTTACATAGATACAAACATAGAGATACATCACTAGCAATTTTCATTGTAAAAGTACAAAGTTTCCTTACAGAACCAAGTAACGAGAAGCTATATATGAAGGCAACTAGATAAACCAGATACATAAAAATTTTACGGGTATTTCAAGAATGACTATAACCATCCAAATGGGCCAGATTGGGTGGCTCACACCTGTATTCCAATACTTAGGGAGGCTGAGGGAGGAGGACTGCCTGAGGCCAGGAGTTTAAGACCAGCCTAAGCAACATAGCAAAATTCTATCTCTGCAAAACAAGTTAAAAAATTAGCCAGGTCTGGTGGTGCAGGCCTCTAATCCCAGCTACTCAGGTGGCTGAAGGTGGGAAGATCATTTTAGCTCAGGAGTATGAGGATAAAGTGAGCTATGATCAGGCCACAGCTCTCCAGTCTGGGTGACTAGAGACAGCAAGATCCTGTCTTTTAAAAAACTGAAAAAACATAGTTAAGGACTGAACAATTAAAGCAAATAGACAACCTTCAGAATGGGAAAAGATATTTGCATATTATGAATCTGACAAAGGGTTGATAACCAGAATCTACAGAGAACTCAAATTAATCAACAAAAAAAGAGCAAAGAATACCATCCATTACTGGGCAAGATACATGAACAAGAACCTTCTCTGAGGAAGAGAGACAAATGGCTAACAAACATATGAAAAAAAGCTCATCATCCCTAATCATCAGAGAAATGCCAAATCAAAACCACCCTCAGATATCACTTAACCCCAATGAAAATAGCCCACATCACAAAGTCCCAGAGTGGCAGATGCTGATTCAGATGTGAAGAGAAGGGAATACTTTTACACTGTTGATAGGACTGCAAACTTATACACCTCTATGGAAAGAAGTATGGATAATCCTCAAAGAACTCATATTAGACCTCCCATTTGATCCTGAAATCCCATTAGGCACCTACTCAGAAGAAAAAAAATCATTTTATCATAAAGACATTTGCACTAGATTCTTTATGGCAACTCAATTTATAATTGCCGAGATGTAAAAACAATGTAACCACCCACCAACTCAAGAATAGATTATCAAACTATGGTATATGTATGCCATAGAATACTTGAAGACTTTACAGCTTTTGTATTACCCTAGATGGAGTTGAAAATCAGTCTTCTTAGTAAAGTATCAGAACAATGAAAAAGCAAGTATCCAATGAATTCAATACTAATATGAAGTCAGTAGATGCTCTAATACACACCCACATTAGAGAAAAACTCAATTCAAGTTGGGGAGAGGGGAATGAAGGAAGAGGCAAAGGGAAGAAGACAGAAGAGAGGGGAATTTGTAGCTCCCACTTAATGGGCACAATGTTAAGGGTATATGGCACACCTCTTGGGTGTGGGACATAATTACTAGAGGGACTCTAACAAAGTAAAATATTATAACCTAGTTGTTTGTACCCTCACATTAACCTAAAATAAAAATATTAAAAAATGAAACAAAAAAGGCAATCCAAGTATTAATAAAGAATGAATAAGATGTGGCATAGTTCTATAATGGAATATGACATAGCAATTTAAAAATACTAGCTCTTAATATACACACATCATGAATAAAAATCTCAAAAAATTACACTGAATCACAAACAACATATATACAACATATATAATATAATTCTATTTATATGAAATCTAGGAATAGGCTAAAGTAATCTATATGACAGAAACCACAACCATGGTTAAAATCTGGAAATTGGGACTCAAAGGAACTCTTTAGGGTGAAAACTTTTGGGGGTAAAAGAAACATTATCTTGATAGGAACGTTGGAAACCTGAATATACTATATATGTGTCAAAATTAATAAAAATGAACACCTAGGGCAGCTCCTATCACTCAGTGAGTAGGGCACTGGCCCCATATACTCACTGAGTGATAGGAGCTGCCCTAGGTGTTCAGGTTCACACCTGAGGGTGGCAGGCTCAAATCCCCCCAGCCCTGGCCAAACTCCAACAAAAAAATAGCTGGGCATTGTGGCAGGCACCTGTAGTCCAGCTACTTGGGAGGCTGAGGCATGAGAATTGCCTAAGAGCGATTGGTTGCTGTGAGCTATGATGACAAAGCACTCTACTGAGGGCAACAAAGTGAAGACTGTCTGAAAAAAAAAAAAAAACAAACAAAAAAGAACACCTGTTCTGTGAACTTCATTACATGTAAATTTTACCTCAGCAAAAATTAAAAAAAAAAAAAAAGTAGGCTCGGTGCCTATAGCTCAACCGGCTAGGGCGCCAGCCACGTACACCTAAGGTGGCGGGTTCGAATCCCCAGCCCGGACCTGCCAAAACAACAATGATGGCTGCAACCAAAAAATAGCCGGGCGTTGTGGCGGGCGCCTGTGGTCCCAGCTACTTGGGAGGCAGAGGCAGGAGACTCGCTTGAGCCCAGGAGTTGGAGATTGCTGTGAGCTGTAATGCCATGGCACTCTACCCAGGGGGACAGCTTGAGGCTCTGTCTCAAAAAAAAAAAAAAAAAAAAGTAATGTTGACCAAAACCCCAATGAGAAGTTAAATTATACAAAAAAGCAAAAGATTGAGCACCCCAATTTTATAATTTATATTGTTTGTTTAATGGATTAGTCTTTGTTGGGAGTGGGAAGCACAAAACTGTATGGTTCATATACCTAATTTAACTCAAATCTCAGTAATTATCACTCATTTTAATTAACAAATAAACAATCTAAGTTTAAAAAGCTAGGGAAAGTATCATGATAGTCTCTTTGTCTATAAAATTTAAACTACACCAGGATGATTAAAGGCTTTTATCAATTTTACCTATTCCAAAGGTCAAAAATTAAGTGAATTAGAAATCAAATAAAACATAACTACAAAGTGTTTAAGCATTAACCTATATAAAATACAATGAAAACATTTATAAGTTCAGATAGCTGACTTCCTTTATGTTAAAAAATCTATGACAGAAGACAAACAAGTCATCTCAAGTGACTGCTAAGAAATTAACCATGTAACAATCTGAATCTGACCTGCTGGATGCATATGATAAGCATTATTTTCTACTTCCTCTCGGTCATCTTGTAGTGACTCATCGTGGAAAGAGGTTTCTTCACTGCTTCCTTCCAGCCCATTTCGCAAAGCAGCACGCATGTTTAATGCAACAATGGTATCATCCGCACTGCTGCTACTGTTATGTTTATTTCCAGCACTCTCTGGGGTTTGAGGAATGGGTTTAGCAATAGGATTAGTATAAAAACGTGATACTAGTGAATCATCATCTCCGTCCTGTTGATGGTTCTCCTCAACAGATTTGCTCAAAAAACTAAACCTGAAAAGAGAAAAAAAGAAAAAAACTTAGCCCCTTGCAGTAGTAAAATGATAACAGCTAACCCATACCATCTTTTACTAAGAGCTGACACTATGTGGGTAGTTACCTGTATTAAAAGTTCTTAACGTTGGATGGGGCCTATGGCTCAAAGGAATAGGGCACCAGCCGCATATACCAGAGGTGATGGGTTCAAACCCAGCCCTGGCCAAAAAAACTGCAGAAAAAAAAAGTTCTTAATGCTTAAAAAAAAATTAATATGGTAATCATGTCAAGTAGGTTATAATTATTGTCTCTATTTTACAGAAAAGGAAATTGAGGCATAGAAATAACCTGCCCACCATCAAAAAGCTGTGAATTCTAGAGTTGAGATTTTAACATATTACATGTAACTCTAGATTCCAGGCCTTTAAATGTTAGTTTTACAAACAAATGGATCTGAACATCTAAACTTTTGTTTTTTAAAAATGTATGCTCTACTATGTGGAATACTGATATATTTGGTATTTAATTATCAAGATTAAAAAAACATTAAAAATATGGGCAGCGCCTGTGGCTAAGTGGGTAGAGCGCCAGCCCCATATACCTAGGGTGGGGGGTTCAAAGCCAGCCCTGGCCAAACTGCAACAAAAAAATTGCCAAGTGCCTATAATCCCAGCTACTCGGGAGGCTGAGGCAAGAGAATTGCCTAGGCCCAGGAGTTGAAGGTTGCTGTGAGCTGTGTAATGCCACGGCACTCTACCAAGGGTGATAAAGTAAAACTCTGTCTACAAAAAAAAAAAAAAAACCACTAAAAATTTTAGATTTTTAATATTATAATCATCAAGGGATTTGAAAAGGCTTTGTTAGGGCAGCACCTGTGGCTCAAAGGAGTAAGACACTGGCCCCATATGCCAGAGGTGGTGGGTTCAAACCCAGCCCCGGCCAAAAACTGCAAAAAGAAAAGGATTTGTTAGTAAAAATATAAACTGGAATCTTATCCAAACAGAAAAATATGGCAGTGTCAAGATGTATACATTAAGGATTTAGAACAATGACAAATAATCTAAATGTTCACTAACTGGCTGAGACACCTTACATTCACAATGATTATACGTTTAAATAAAAAAGAGGCAGGTAAAACACAGTGGCTCATTCCTTTAAAATCTGGCACTTAGGGGCAGTGCCTGTGGCTCAGTGAGTAGGGCGCTGGCCCCATATACCGAGGGTGGCAGGTTTGAACCGAGCCCCGGCCAAACTGCAACCAAAAAAAAAAAAATAAATAAAAACAGCTGGGCGTTGTAGCAGGTGCCTGTAGTCCCACCTACTTGGGAGGCTGAGGCATGAGAATTGCCTAAGCCCAAGAGCTGGAGGTTGCTGTGAGCTGTAACACCATGGTACTCAACTGAGGGCAGCAGTGAGACACTGTCTCTTAAAAAAAAAATCTGGCACTTAGGGAAGCTGGGGTAGCAGGGTCACTTGAGGCCAGAAGTTAGTCCAAAACCTGCTTGGGCAACATAGAAAGACTCTGCTTTGGGCCTGGTATGATGGCTCACACTGTAATCCTTGTGCTCTGGGAGGCTGAAGCAGGTAGATTGCCTCAGCTCAAGTTTGAGACTAGTCTGAGCAAGAGCGAGACACTGCTTCTACTAAAAATAGAAAAATGAGCTTGGTGTGGTAGCAAACTCCTATAGTCCCCCAGCTACTTGTGAGGCTGAGGCAATGGGAATACTTGAGCCCAAGACTTTGAGGTTGCTGTGAATTATGATACCACGACACTATCCAGGGCACAGAGTGAGACTCTGTCTCAAAAACATACACACAGGCACAGTGCATGCAGCTCAAGCAGCTAAAGCGCCAGCCATATACACCGGAGCTGGTGGGTTCAGGTCCAGCCCGGGCCTGCCAAACAACAATGGCTACAGCCAAAAAGTGGCTAGCTGTTGTGGTGGGTGCCTGTGGTACCAGCTACTTGGGAGGCTGAGGCAAGAGAATCGCTTAAGCCCAGTAGTTGGAAGTTGCTGTGAGCTGTGACACCACCTTCCTCTACCCAGGGCAACAGCTTGAGGCTGTCTCAAAAAAAGAAAAGAAACAAACAACACATACACACACACAAGAAAGATCCTACCTCTGAAAAAAACACCATAAAAACTTAGCTAGAGGCTCGGTGCCTGTGGCTCAAGTGGCTAGGGCACCAGCCACATACACCTAAGGTGGCAGGTTCGAATCCCCAGCCCGGGCCCGCCAAACAACAATGATGGCTGCAACCAAAAAATGGCCAGGCGTTGTCGCGGGCACCTGTAGTCCCAGCTACTTGGGAGGCGGAGGCAGGAGACTCGCTTGAGCCCAGGAGTTGGAGGTTGCTGTGAGCGTGATGCCACAGCACTCTACCCAGGGGGATAGCTTGAGGCTCCGTCTCAAAAAAAAAAAAAAAAAACTTAGCTAGACATGGTGGCATGTGCCTTTTAGTCTCAGCTACTTTGGGAGAATTGAAGCAGAAGAGTTATGTGAGCCCAGGAGGTTTAGGCTACAGTAAGTAAGCTATGATGACTCTATTGCCTTTTAGACCAAGCCAATAGAACAAGACCCTGTCTCAAAAAAGCATAAAAGAAGCAGATATATTCATACAGATATCAAAAGGGATTTATAATAAAAGTAAATAATCAGGTTACAAAATATATCTTTTATACATACTCTTTACAATGAATTAATATCTTGCTGTATGAACATAATACAAAAGAAACACATTCCTAATGGTGAAAAATGTATACCAATATATTAGAAATTAGTGTTATGTGCTTTTGCTTCCTCCTTTATACTCTATACCATCTATTTTGTTTCTTACAATGATTATCTATCACTTTAATAATCATCACAGACCAGTGTCAAAAGCATACTAGCCATGTCTAAAAACAACATACATCAATTCCAAAGTAGTTCCACATAATGCAATCATAATTCCAATAATTATTAGGCTTAAAGAATTCAAGAAGGAAAAATAGAATTTAATTTGTAGGCATTTATAAGGTATAATACATCTATGAAATGTTCATCAAATTTTATAAATTTTCAAAAAATTCTAACTTTCAGAGGCTCTTCAAACGAGGGCTCTCTAACTGACAGCAGATCAAAACAGAATTCAGTTTACCTCTCTCCATTTTCTGGATATTCAGATGGTGAGGCTAGATCGTCTGAATCACGATTAACAGGAGAAAAGAGATTGCTGTTATTAAGGTTCTTCAAAACCAGCTTCTTAATACTCTTCCTATGAATAAAGACCAAATTAAAAAGGAAAAAAAAAAAAACCTCAGGCATATACTTATGTCACAAATGTATCTTAAAAACTGAAAACCAAAAGTGCACTTCTGTTCAAATCTCATATATGTTCATGAGTTAACAAATTTCATTTATAAACTCTTTAGAAGTTTACAACCATCCTCCTTTTAAAAGCACTCAATGGGCCTTTTCTAATACCTCATTGAGCTGTCAAGAAAGGGCAAATTGGCTCAGCTTGAGCGGCTAAGGTGCCAGCCACATACACCTAAGGTGGCGAGCTCGAATCCCCAGCCCGGGCCCGCCAAACAACGATGGCTGCAACCAAAAAAT